GGGCAGAACCCAATGAGAATATATTATTATCAAGCAATTCAATAGAAATGTCAAGAAGTTTTCGAATATTACGAATCATTAATAACTAACTAGGTAGTCAGAGCCTCTGAAAATTGATTTAATTACTGTCTCCTACATTTTGTCAGTAAACAAAATTAACTCAGTATTATTTCGAGCAATCAAATTAAAGGGGAAAAAGGAAGAAAATATTTCTTCAAAAGATCATCCATCATACTTCTTTATATCCATACTTTTGTATTAGTTATACCTATGTGGATGTGATGTAAGTAACTACTTTGTCCACTTCAATAGAGATTTCATGTAAGCTTTTTACATATTCCTTTTATTTAGTTCATTAGATAAATCTTTGCCTCTTGAAATATTACATATTATTATATCTATTCTGTTTTACATAATTCATTTTTATTTAGTACCGATATTTTTGTTTATCTTAGGTAAAGTTAGCAAGATACATATATATACAGTGTTTTGTACATCAAGAGTTCTCCATATACTTGGGTGTATTTTGATGATATCACTGAATAAATTTTGAAAGGTGTTGGAAATATTCGTTTACTAGCAGCTTCTTGCAAATTTAACTGCGTACGTTCAAAGATCATCTAAAATATATTTATATCATACGTCATTTATTTTAGTTAAACTTTAGATCGCTTTTACATTTTTAATGATTGTATAGCTATCTTCATAATTTGTTTTGTAAAATGGATTTTGATGAGGTGCGTTACAAATAGGTTTAGAGTATTATTTATATTATTAATTATTATATATTGTATCGTACCTATGGTAAAGGGACCCTAAGAGATTGTGACGTGACGGTATCTGGATGTGATATTGTTAACTGAATCAATGCTTGGGGCTGACGCAAGGCGGAATGGTGATATTATTAAATGATAAAATAAGAATATTCAGCGGGCTAAATACCCATGGTTGAAAGTTTCATTACTTGCAAACAAGGGCCAGATGGTGTTACTTCTACTCTTTCCTCGATCTCTTTCATAAATAATAAGGTTAAAGGCCGATTACACCTAACTTATGAGCTTAAATTTAAAAAAAAAAATTACTACAAAAAATTCCACTCCGCCCAAGTTTCAGGCTGAAAATTTTATTAGACTTACATAACAAACAGTTTTCAATAAAAATTATAAACATTCTTAGATATTAAAGGGACGTTCAAATTGTTTGGCACCAAACATTACGACTATCCTAACTCGCTAAGTTAATTTCAAAATATATAACATCGAATTTGGACACGTAAGTTTGTTTATTTTGGCGCCATAAAGTCGTCACTTAATTATACGTCTATAATCTCCAAGATTTCCTTCACTATCATATCAAAATTCATGAACACCGGTTTAGGTGAAATCGTACAAATGAAAAATTGTTTCTCTAATTCTCAACTAGATTTTTTAATAACTATAAGTATAGAAATATGGATTAACTTCACTCAATATTCATATTATTATTAAACTTATTGTATCACTTATTAATCAAACTTATATGAATATTCACTTGAATTTTTTTAATAATTTTAAAATAATTTTATTTAACATAAACTATCCTCTGTACATTTCGTTAGTCATTTACGAAATCATCGATATAAAATTTGCTTCAACATGTCACATCACTGTCCCGCGAGTGCAGTTAGTGTGCCCCATAAATCAGCTTCCGTCCCCCGTAGGCACGTCTTAATACAATTTTCTAAGTGACGTATACAAACAAACAGGGCTATCGATGACTACATATGTATATGATGATGACATATTGGGGCGACTGTTCAATTTATGGAGAGGAAGATCTCCATGGCGCAGTTTGTTAGCACGTTTGACTCGGGTATCGTAGAAGTTAAGCAACTTTCGCAATGGCTTGTCATTTGATGGGTGGCCAAAAACTTTATAATCTCGAGCTCCTCCGGGGTTCGCAAGGTACTTTAAGCCATTAGTCCATTCTCCCTATGTTATCCGTACAGTGGGGACATTAATATTTGATGACGATGATTCAAATGTTGAAGTATGTTTCGACAGCTGCTTTAGTATTGTGCAGTATAAATTCATGACATGTTCATGAGGGTGTACTTTAGGTAGAAATGAGTAGCTTTATCTATCTTCAATAAATATCTTACAGAACACGATAAAAAAAGGCAAAAAATCTTTTGCTTAGGCTCTAAACGTAAAAAATATCGAAAAAATCTAAACCGCTAATTATTATTTACAGTATATCAGTTAGATTTATATAAAAACTATGAGTGAAAATGAAATAGATATTCTTCTTACTCCGAAAACAGTTACCCAAAATGGAATTTCAACATTAATTGGAGATGTTTTCCACTTGGTTGCCTGCTGTGGCGTTTTTTTTATACTATCATAGCTACTAAAGCTTCTAAGAAATGCCAATACAAATAACATTTCATTGAATGTAGTGACCCAACAAAGCAGACATTTCTGTTACTTGGAATTCTTTAGTGGCCTATTCAATCGAAGTATGTACTGAGGCATTAGCCAGATTTAATTAACTTTTGCAACTACGATTGATTGGAACATAGATCTGCTAATTGAACTAAAAAGATATCTCACATGTGGGTATAAACTAGTTGTGAATGAATATAATACGACAAAGAAATATAGTATCAATGCTGGCTCGAACTCTATACCCTTTCACTTTTTATCACGTGGAACTCCGACTATTAACAAATGGTTGACCTGATGGGCACAACTTTTCGTAAATTATGCTGTGCACTAGCCTTCACAGAAGAGATAATTAAATTTACCCTTTATTGTAACTTCATTTAGGCGTCGCATTTGCGAAACTCAAATGAAGTAGCTAATTTAGAAAGAGAGAGAATTCTAATTATAAAATTTGATTGTAACAATAAGAAAGATAAAGAAAATATCGACAAAATTTGTCGATGTCTGTTTATCGACTACAGTCCCTCACTAGCCACCGGGCTACATAAATCATGGAGACATACGCCCTATCTGTTGCCAGCTTAATACGATCCCTGAGTCACAGGGGGGAGCCCCCCTCCCTTTATTTTACATTCTCTACGTAAGCAAAAAAGTCAGGGGTATTATTCCACCTTTGCACAGAGTTCTTTAAAAATATCTTACAATTAAGATCCTTACAAATAGAAAAAATACGTTGGAGTGGTATTGGATAATAAGGCAAGTATATTTTTGATTTTAAAATCTGAAAAGAAAGCTTAAATTCACAACAGCCAAGTCTATTTTGGTATAACAAAAGCAGACATCGAAAAATGATCTCGCAAAAATTGAGATGTAGGCTTTTGAATTTCAATGGAAAAAGGCACAGTGGGATTTTTTGACGAATTAGAGCACCCGCCTGGAGCAATGTACTTCACGTTGTAGCAAATTATATTACACGAATATTTGTAATAACAGTTCTATAGTTACCAATGAAGTAAAGTAAAGCACTTTTGGAAATTCAATACTTTGCTCTCTGTAGAGGTCCTATACCATTAGGCAGGTTTAGCTTCTATCTCGCCATTTTTTTTAATAAAAAAAGCCTATGAGAACTTAATTTAATTTGTTATTCCTTTTTCAGTTTATACCTATATCACAAACGCGTTCGGGTCCCAAATAAATAATTAAAACCGTCCGTAAATTTATAAAAGGCTTTTACGAAAGCATGTAGAATACACGTCACTGTATTTTTCGTAATTGACTTTTGTACCCATTGTAATCAGACTAGGAGAAGTAAAACAATAGCGAATGAAAAATATTTAAGGTCCATTCCCGGGTTCAAGATATCAAACGTAGAGCAGCTTTGATGTTCGCATTATTGCGATGAATAAAATAAGCAAAAATCCTTTCTCAAAAACAGCTGCCTCGCTTTGAAGTGGTACCAAATTAATTAGATTGTTCAAAATAAATGGCGACACGGAGCAAATTTTATTTATCCCTCCACCTCCGAATGGCTTGGAGCTAAAGAAGGGCATAGGATGTGCCAGCTGCAAGCTTCCCGGAGCAGATATCAAAATTTTATCAACTTAGAAGGTTTCGACTTAGAGAAATGAAATAAAGTTTTGACCTTTAAATAGCTAGAGAAGAGTTATCTTATACTGATTATAAATTATAATTACGAATAGGCACGAATTATTTTGAAACAGAGGCTCTTAACATCTTCAAGTAATAGTAAAATGTATCTTTAGTATTTCCTTTATAAGAGACGTGAAGAAGCAACATGCAGGCCGGTAGGGTGAGGATAGCTGGTGTGGCGGGTAGAACTGCTGTATCGGCTATCTTCACGTCTGGACTTCACCTTCACTTAACATCAGGTGGGGTGGAGTCATTTGTTGGAACTATCTATAAAAAAAAACTTCTCAGACCTGTGACTTACAGTTTTAAAGTACGACTTTTAGTGTTCTTGTTCCCTGTTCAATTGCATACTAAGTCAAGTATCATTTGTATTGGTTTCTAGTTGATATTACACCCTCTGAATGCATACCAAATAGTTTGAAGTTACAGAACTACATACCCGCTATGGGAAATCTTCCGGGCTGGTATAGTAATGTAATTTGATTTAAGAGTCGACGGAGTAGTCCCGCAAGGGATTAAAGGACAGTAAGAGTCTCAGGAGAACAATGCGTTCCTGGAAGGAAAAGCGTTGATTGTACCTGCTGACCATTCCTGCACACACATCGGACCGAACAAAATGTGTCAAGGTGCGTCAAGTTCTGCAGCAAAGGGTAAAGAAGAAAATAAAGTCATCACTACCCTTAACAAGAGGTTTATTTAAAGGTGACTTCATTCACTGAAGTTATTTTTCAATTTTAACACTCCCTGTAATAATATAGAGAGAGAAAACAGCCGTTGCTGTTCCTTGCTGGTTCTCTTCAGTGCAAGGTCTTCCGCCGTAGATTTGCAAAGCGATGGCGTAGCTCCTCGACCTTCACAAGCGTTTAAACAGCAGAACTGAATAAATGATACTCAACATATATATAAGGATATAGAGGTAGGGCTTACCTGTAAGCCATCCGGATCTGCTCTCCGTTCTTGTACCAGATTAGTTGTGCTGGTGGGTTACCACCTCGGCTTCTGCAGACCAGCTCGAGGCTCTGTCCTCGGCGCACCGTCTCGCCTTCCGCGTAACCCTCGATGTAAGGAGCGCCGGGAGGATCTGTGGACGGAAGAAGAGATAAGTTTTCAAGAGCAGCATCGAGCATATTCATGCATGGATGCATGCACCAATTAAATTCCACCGCAAACCAAGTTATTTAAGGTGCTATTCCGATCTCAGCTGTAGACTGCAGATGCAGATACAGGCTGCGGATACACGACTGGTTTATATGCATTTGCATAAAATACATTTTGGTAGTGGCTGCAGATGCCGGCTGCATATGCAGCTGCAGCTGAGTTCGTTATGTATTTCATACAAAAGAGAGTTAATTCTTTGTCGCCCTAGGAGCAAATGAATAACTTTGCCTATTGCCGATGAACTAACTTGCATTAAATCTAACAAAACATTAATGGTAGAATTTATTTAAGTATATCTCATTCTTTTTTTGCAATAACAGAAAAATCATAGATTGCATCTGTTGCAATAGTGTAGCTTAAGCAATAATCAAGCTACGAATGGACGAACAGGATAAAATGGCGACATTGCAATTCATTTGAATAAATTCATTTTCCGGAGATCAGACAGGATCCAAGTTCATCGTCATACAACCTAGGGCACCGGGCTTTCATGATTAGTATTAAATTGAAATCAAAAGGTTCGGTCACGACCTTGCCACTATGAACGACGGCTTATAGCCTCTTTACACCACCCAAGAGTTGGGTCCCCAACTGCCCGATACAACCAAATTGAGAAGACGTAAATTACGTTGTAATATCTTGTGATAGTGCGAAAAGATGTTCCTAGGTGTATCTTATCTCTGAAGTAATGATAATACAATACTTTCTGCCGAAGCTGTAACTTAGCTTCCGGACAACTTCTAACAAACGCTTTTTTTTTCTATTAATCAAATCCGATACATTTTGAAATGACTTTTCCGAAACTGATAGGCATGCTCTGTTAGATGGTTCTATGACATGGGTCTTTCTAATGAGCCGTGAAGAAGCAACAAGGGTATAGGACGCCCGTCGCTTAACTGGAGAAAGCAGGCGAACTTTGATCGATAATGCGAATTTCATGGATATTAGCCTTCTATTGACTCTGCGGATAACATCTTAGGTCTAATGAATGCGGGACCATGACCGTGGAGCTTACGGTGGCCAAACAACTTCGAGCTATGCTGCGCTGTGCTGTTCAATGTTCAATTTAGTGAACTTACTGTCCCCAGATTCATCACTTTCATATCATTCGTAAGACTGCGGCCCACTGCTGTGCCTATATGCCTCCCCCAAGAATCTCCACATCTATCAGTCCTGCGCCACTTGCATCCATTAGCTTCCCGCAACCTGCCCAAGAACATGAGTCCACCTCGTAGGGGCTTGCCCACTGAACGTCGCCCGCTGCGTGGTCACCATTCAAGATCATTTCCGCCCCAACGGCGTTTAGTTCTACTTGCTACGTGTTCTCTCCATTGCCACTTACGCAAAGCAATGCTTTTTTTTATAGATAGGTCCGACAAATGACTCCACCTCACCTGATGTTAAGTGATGGTGAAGTCCAGACGTGAATATAGCTGGTACAGCAGTTCTACCTGCCACATCAGCCATCCTCACCTTACCGGCCTGCATGTTGCTTCTTCACACCTCTTTTAAAGGATCCCGGGTTGTAAGAAGGAGGGAACACATGAGCAGGCTTTGAGCAATATCGGTTACTTTAGTTCTCCTGCGGAATTTTCATTTCCGATTCTATGGCGTAGGGAAATACCGAGCGTCTCTCTCTCCATTGCTCGCTGTATGACCTTGACCCTTCTTATGGGGCTCGCGGTAAATGATTACGTTTCGCTTCCAAAGATCATCACTGGCAACGTACACTGGTAAATATCATCATCAGTATTATTATTTTCATCAGCCTATTAATATCCCAAATGGTGGGGCACGGCAAGAGACACAGAAAAAATGGGGGCGTTGTGTAGAAGTTAGGAGGAATTAATTTAGTTTGAGTGGTTTTTAAATAGGTGAAAAAATGGCGCTAAACATAATTTATTCTCAAAGTGGGCAGTAGACAAAATGACTTTGGGAACCCCTGGTATATAGTTTACATGGGTATAATCAGGAGTATTTTTGAAGCTGAAACTTAACCTTGTTTTCAATTGGACAGCTCCGACGTTATAACCCTTTTCCGATTAGTACGTGACCTTATTACCTGGTTTTGTGTAACATCACAGAACCGGAAAAGGGTCCGAACTGTCCAGTTATGGTTTTTAATTAAAATAGTTTTCAGGTTACAGTATTCCAGCGGTATTCGGGCCAAATTTATCACTTTCTACGAACGCGGCAGTAATTAAGTATCTAAACGCTAACCGTAATATGATCATCCTTCATACGAAACATATAAACGTCTTCTGAGCCAAAACTGGTTTTGAAGTAATCAACTCGATAATGAACAAATTAGTAGCGAAATTTAAATTAATTTTCATTCCGCTTGACGAATATTTTGATTCACCCCACGGGAATGTTTCATCAGGCAAGAGTAATGACTTCTGTAACGTCATAATCAACTGAGACATGTTTGATAAAACCGCCACATCATCCCAATTTAACAGAACGATTCTGCTTATAACGAAGCGCTTTTGAACAACTTCTTAAGTGTGTTTAGGGTGCGGATTTCACGTTCTGCTGGCTAGTCGAAGGCAACTGGTATGTCTTGTTCATAATGTGTTACACCATTAATTATTATCCCAACTGGATTTGGTGGAGCAACTTTAACTAACCCAGGTATTTCAAAAACAACTTTAATATTTTGGGAATTAAAGCTTTCAAAATGTAAGGTTCAGATAGCAGGTACAGTATACGTGCTAAGCTAAGAATGGTTTTATCAGAAAAATCCTTCCTTTACCTTTTTAGTACTTTATAGCTTAAATTTTGATTTTCTATCTGAAATAGATTTTGATTATCATTATAAATGTTGTAAATATTACACACGCCAATAATAATAATGAGTTTTGAAAGAAAACACAATTTTATTGAATAGTTGTGTTCCATCTATGTGACCAGTCAACATCAAGCGTTGCTGCGTTGTGACCAATCAACATCAAGCGTTGCTGCGTTGTGACCAATCAACATCAAGCGTTGCTGCGTTGTGACCAATTAAAATCACGCGTTGCTGCGTTGTGACCAATCAACATCACGCGTTGCTGCGTTGTGACCAATCAACATCACGCGTTGCTGCGTTGTGACCAATCAACATCAAGCGTTGCTGCGTTGTGACCAATCAACATCAAGCGTTGCTGCGTTGTGACCAATCAACATCACGCGTTGCTGCGTTGTGACTAATCAGCATCACGCGTTGCTACGTTGTGACCAATTAAAATCACGCGTTGCTGCGTTGTGACCAATCAACATCACGCGTTGCTGCGTTGTGACCAATCAACATCACGCGTTGCTGCGTTGTGACTAATCAACATCACGCGTTGCTGCGTTGTGACCAATTAAAATCACGCGTTGCTGCGTTGTGACCAATCAACATCACGCGTTGCTGCGTTGTGACCAATCAACATCACGCGTTGCTGCGTTGTGACCAACCAACATCACTCGTTGCTGCGTTGTGACCAATCAACATCACGCGTTGCTGCGTTGTGACCAATCAACATCACGCGTTACTTTTTAGATATTATATTGTATGGAATCAATAAGTGCTGGTGTTTTTTTTTCTAAAATAAGCACAGAATACAGCTCAGTATCCATACACCGAGTTATTTTTATAAACTGGGAAATATGCAAAACACCTATCTAGAAATTGTGCATTTGTTTGTTCATAGGTTACTATGGATGAGTAGGTAACTTGGCTCTTGGTATTTATCGAGAATGTTTGTAATACGATCCCACAAAAAGATTAGACAAAATCTACCAGTTCTTTAATCCGCTAGGAACTTTATCGATGTTGTAGTCGATTCTTCAGTGAATTTATCAACTTATAAATTACACGATATAACAATATTCCGATTATTTTGCGGGATTCCCTGGTCTCTAAACTATCTTTTCTGGTCTAGACGTCAGCGAATGTTCTGACACGAGAATGGAATTTTAATATCACTCTTGTCTGCGACTGTGCTGTTTATAACTAGCTTGTGCAGTCATTGTACGGAATCATATAGGATTTAGAGTATTATGTGTTGTCTGATAGAAAATAGCATAATCAAATTTACGACAAAAATCCTACAAGTTTTATTTTTCATTAAAGTTAACCTGTGAATATAACGCACAGTAAATAAATTAAATAACAAACAAGCTTCACAATCATGAGCAAGTAATGTATTATCTCTTAGCGAGGGTAACTTAAGCCTAAACTTAATCCAGTTAATAAGCTGATTTGCGCCGAATGGTGAATAATTAAAATCACGAATAAATTAATAGACAATAAGAATTTAATTTCTGTTCGTAATTTCAGGAAGTCTCAATAAATTGCCTTTGTTACGTAAAAATCACTGTCTAATTAATTTTAAGAAAAATCTCACGATATTTCTTAACAAACGAGAAACATAATAACGGAATTGATAAGTACGACTTACGTACGAAAATTAGATATTTTGTGAGGAAAAGTATCGATTCATCGATAGCTTTCTGGCTCAAAGTCACATCACTGTTATACGAAAGGTCATTCAACTCGGAAAATATGTTTAAAAGCAATCTTCTTGCACACTCGCTTGGAAAAAGAGCTTCCAGTCGTCTTTGGAAAGCTTTGGAAATTTCGCTTTGAGAAAAAATGACGGCTCGGTTGGTACGTACGCCCCTCCAACTCACTCCTAAATAAATTGGTAGGGTGATTTGAAAAAATTAACCGCCTTTCTTCGCTTAGAACCGCTTTATTATTTCGACTTCTAGGAACCGACCGACTACGAGATTAGCGATATCGCAATTTTGGTAAGTTGCTATAATAAATAAATATAAATTGTTTACCCGCAATCCAGAATATTGTGGGTAAACTTTTTGAATACTCTAGTGGTTGCCTATTGGCTGAAGTTGGACTTTTCTAATTTTTACCGAAATCGGAGTACAGTCAAAGAA